CCCGTGCATGTCGGACTTCCAGGCTGAGCCTGTCCCCCCCCACCGGACGTCAGCGTCCTTGCGGTCGCATCTCTGCCGATCTCTGCGAAATGTAAAAGGTCGGTTCGCGCACACTCGCCAATCAGGGTGGGCGAAAGGGGGGTTAGTCAAGGAAGGTGCGCTCGCGCCCAAACATCCTTGCCCCCCCTCCCATCCATTCCCATGGCGCTGAATTGTCATTATCCGCGGACGTGTTTCATAGCCGAGACCACTTAGTTCGTGTTATGCGAAATCGGAAAGTCCGGAGCTGCGTGCACAAGAGGAGGTAGCGGATGAGCAGGAGGATGAGCGGGAGCAAAAGGATGAGGACGAACAGCAGCAGCAGGAGCTAAAGCGGAAGGATAAAGAGGAGAAGGAGGACCAGGGGAAGGTGGAGGAGAGGAAATGGTGGGGGCGACAACGATGAAGAAAGACTCGGATTCAGGAAAGTGGCCCGCGCTGGGGCAAGACGAACAGCAGCAGCAAGACTTGGAGTGGAATGAGCGGGAGGAACAGGAGGACCAGGGGAAGGCGGAGGAGGGGCAGTAAAGGGGGGGACAACAATGAAGCAAGACTCGAATCCAGAAACGTGGCCCGCCCTGGGGCGAGAGCGCCATTCTGAACGACTGGAGCAAGGCGCCGATCCGAAAATGAGGCCCACGCAGCAGCGGGAATACCGTTTACACCGGAAGCGATCGGATGGTCCAAAACCATGAGAAAAACAACTTTTGAACTCCTGTGTAAAAAAAACACCGCACGCGGAGGGGGCGGGAGATCTTCCGGACAACTTCAGGGGAGGAGGGAGGGTAGTATCATAGTGTTCAATTGTAGAAAGGGGGCACGACTCAACTCCACGCAGCTGGTTTTCCTGGCGCCTCCTTGCGCCAGAGGCAGCCGCGTATCGAGGGAAGCGCTCAGAGGTGGGACCGAAACCAGCTGCATGCAGCGGGTTTCGTAGCCCCCCCTTCCCCAACCAAGCCCTCTCGTCTACCCTGAGTCGAGAAGAAAGGCCCCTTGGCGATGCTGATGCTAGCTGGCACTATCATCCGTCCAGAATATTGTGAGCTGCAGCCGCATTGCAACCGCCAGGTGACACTCAACACGGTGCATGGCGCCGCTGGCAGCCGCCGCCTACAGCCAGGGTGGGCTCCAGTGTTGGAGTCTACTCCAGAGTTCATTGCACGGCAGGGGATGCCGCAGAAGCGTCAGGCGTCGCAGGTCCCGCAGGCGGCGGGGCAGCTCGTCAGCAGGTCTGGGGCCTGTGTCTTGTATGTCTCGCACTTGTACGCGCCACTGCGTTCCCATCTAGCCCAACTTGCGCAAGTGTCCCCCCACTGACCCCTGTAGTTCGGGTCGTCCTCGCACTCGCCAGGCGAAGGTGTTGGCGCACTGGCTTCGCAGGTCCCGCAGGCGGCGGGGCAGCTCGTCAGCAGGTCTGGGGCCTGTGTCTTGTACGCCTCGCACTTGTACGCGCCACTGCGTTCCCATCTAGCCCAGCTTGCGCAAGTGTCCCCCCACTGACCCTTGTAGTTCGGGTCGTCCTTGCACGCGGTTGACGAAGTTGGAGTCTGGGTCGGCTGCGGCGACGGAGCTGGGGTTGGCTGTGGGGTCGGAGCTGGAGTTGGCTGCGGCGTCGGAGCTGGGGCTGGCTGCGGGGTCGGAGCTGGGGTTGGCTGCGGCGTCGGGGCTGGGGTTGGCTGTGGGGTCGGAGCTGGGGATGGCTGCGGCGTCGGGGCTGGGGTTGGCTGCGGCGTCGGAGCTGGGGTTGGCTGCGGTGTTGGCGCACTGGCTTCACAGGTCCCGCAGGCGGCGGGGCAGCTCGTCAGCAGGTCTGGGGCCTGTGTCTTGTATGTCTCGCACTTGTACGCGCCACTGCGTTCCCATCCAGCCCAACTTGCGCAAGTGTCCCCCCACTGACCCCTGTAGTTCGGGTCGTCCTCGCACTCGCCAGGCGAAGGTGTTGGCGCACTGGCTTCGCAGGTCCCGCAGGCGGCGGGGCAGCTCGTCAGCAAGTCCGGGGCCTGTGTCTTGTACGCCTCGCACTTGTACGCGCCACTGCGTTCCCATCTAGCCCAGCTTGCGCAAGTGTCCCCCCACTGACCCTTGTAGTTCGGGTCGTCCTTGCACGCAGTTGACGAAGTTGGAGCCTGGGTCGGCTGCGGCGTCGGAGCTGGGGTTGGCTGTGGGGTCGGAGCTGGGGTTGGCTGCGGCGTCGGAGCTGGGGCTGGCTGCGGGGTCGGAGCTGGGGTTGGCTGCGGCGTCGGGGCTGGGGTTGGCTGTGGGGTCGGAGCTGGGGATGGCTGCGGCGTCGGGGCTGGGGTTGGCTGCGGCGTCGGAGCTGGGGTTGGCTGCGGTGTTGGCGCACTGGCTTCACAGGTCCCGCAGGCGGCGGGGCAGCTCGTCAGCAGGTCTGGGGCCTGTGTCTTGTATGTCTCGCACTTGTACGCGCCACTGCGTTCCCATCCAGCCCAACTTGCGCAAGTGTCCCCCCACTGACCCCTGTAGTTCGGGTCGTCCTCGCACTCGCCAGGCGAAGGTGTTGGCGCACTGGCTTCGCAGGTCCCGCAGGCGGCGGGGCAGCTCGTCAGCAGGTCTGGGGCCTGTGTCTTGTACGCCTCGCACTTGTACGCGCCACTGCGTTCCCATCTAGCCCAGCTTGCGCAAGTGTCCCCCCACTGACCCTTGTAGTTCGGGTCGTCCTTGCACGCGGTTGACGAAGTTGGAGCCTGGGTCGGCTGCGGCGACGGAGCTGGGGTTGGCTGTGGGGTCGGAGCTGGGGTTGGCTGCAATGTTGGTGCCGCCACTGGAGATGGACCACTGGCACCTCTGCACTGGTACATGTCCTCGAACTGGGCAATGTCGCCGTCAGACAATGATGAACGAGATCCAGGCAGGCTGCGGAACAGCGGGTCGATCACCTGGAAGTTGTCCCCCGCGGGGTAATGCATGATAGACGCGTAGTCGTAGGCGGCGTAGTTCGCCGTCTTCGACCCGATATAAGACCTCAGGTCGGGCGTATATTGGGGCACCCAAGCCTGGTCAATGTTCTGCCAGAACACCGTCAGGTAGGGCCCTTTGGGCCCCTCGGGCGTCTGGTACGTCTCTGCGGCGTCGGGCCTGTTCTGCTCGTGGTTCATGCCGAGGGCGTGCCCGATCTCGTGGGCGATGCTACCCACGTGCCTCGTGTCCGAGCACCAACCCAAGTTCACGCCGAGCTCACCGTCGTCTCCCGGGTAGCCCACGTAAGCGGAGCAGGAATCGTAGTCCGTGATCCCGACCTTCATGCAGGGCTTCTGGGAGCTTTCCGTGAACTGTATGCAGGTGCCGTCCTCCCAGACCTTCGTCGCCAGCCTCCAGGCGTCCTTCCTGGCCTCGTCGATGACGCTGGTGAAGTAGTAGTTGATCTTGACGGTGTTCCCCACCTTGGTCAGCCAAGGGCCGCCGCCTGGGCCGCAGGCCGACGGGTAGCAGCTTAGCCAACCCCCGTTCTGGTCGCATCTGCCGCAGCTGACCGGGCAGGCCTTCTGTACGTACGACCCGAGGTTGCCGTTCGCCTCGCACCAGGCCTTGGCCGTGGAGCACGGCAGCTGCTTACCGTCGCCACCGATGACTCCCGTCTCCGCGGAGTCGAAGCACAGGCCTTTCGCACTCAGGAGGGACACGCCGCCCTGCACTCGCACATCGCCGTGCGGCTTGGACGGGTCGACGTGCACGCCGGCGCCAACGCCGCGCTGCGCCTCGGCGGTGTTGACGCGGAGGCCAGCGGCGTTGGGGATGTCCTCAGCGTGCACGGTCTCCATGGACTCCGCGATCTCGTCCATGTACTGGACGTCGGCCACGCTCAGCTCCGTGAGGGCATAAGGCACCCCGTCGTCCTCCATGGGTCCCACGTATTTCCAGACCAGGACCTCGCAGTGGGGGTCGTCGTCGGAGACATTGCCGCCGCGGGGCAGCAGCAAGGACGAGGGTGGCGTCTTCCTGTCTGGCGTCGCGCAGCAAGGGGGGCAGGGCAGGGGGGCAGCCTTCTCAGAAGGCAAGAGGTTCATCAGAACCAGGCACCAGACCTCCAACCCCGCAACTCAAACAAAACATGGGCCCCCCCACGTTGAGGCCGCTTCCCCAGGGCCAGCTTTTCACCATGAGCCGTTTATGGACGGCCCCAGGGCCTGGCAGGGGCCCATGGAGGCCAAAAAAGGCCCCAAACACTCCGTCACATGTCTCACAACGCGAGGAAGTCTGGGCATGCATGTGGCTGCCCTCTCAGAAAGCACCCCACGCCTCCCGAGCGGCGGGGGGGGGGGCCCTCTTGAGGCCCTCTTGGAAGGCCGCCTCTCCCATGCCCTGCTCCCCCTGTATCGAGGAGACGCAAGACTCGGGTGCGGGGGACTCGGATTCGCCTGACGCGGGACCGCCAAGACAATTACGAGACCCAATATGAAACTTGCCGCGAGCTCCCGCTGCAACACACACACACACACACACACACACACACACACACACACACACACACACACACACACACACACACACACACACACTGCGCGCACTGGACACCCAAGTTCAGGACAGGCCCCAAGCGCCGACAAATCCGGGTCCCGGCGAACTCGAGCCTTGCCAGAGGAAGAAACAACTGCATAAACATAAACTTTCGACGGTCCGCGCAGATTCCGTCGATCTGCGCTGGACTCCCAGCGCCGATCCGAGAAATCTGCGCGGAGCTCCGGCAGGCTATGTTCATGCACTTGTCTTTTCTTCTTATGTTTCTTCTTCTTCTTCTTCTACTTCGACTTACATTCGCCCGACTTTGGTGAACGCGCTGCCCGACAACAGATGTTGTTCAAAACTGGCAGCGGCCGCTGTTGGGAAGGCGGCCTTCTGTCTCCAATGGGCAAGTCGGCAGCGACACTCGACAGCGAGCCCTGCCCAAAATGAACAGGAACTGCTGTCGGTCTTCGTCTCCATTCTTGCTGTTGGAGGTCGCTGGGGGGGCAGCGTTCTCCAGGGCCAGATCCCAATACTATCGGCCGGCGCGCTTGATCCGAACATAGCAATCCTTACGACCCCTATTCGCAAGAGACTCGGACCTCAGGTGTGCTCTTACCGACGATTGGGTTGCTTAGGCTTGCTCTTACCCTACGAGCATTATCCCCTCCTCCGTCGCCCCAGAACGCACAAATCGCGTTCGCTGCCCCTCAGCGAGTTCCAATCTTTCCGTCCCAGACATCCGGCTGCTCCGATTCTTTCGATGCGTGGGCCCCAGAAGTCTGGACGACTTCCCTAGGGCCGGTTTTTCGTCCTGAGTCGTTCTTTGACGCTCCTGAGGCACAGCGAGGGCCCCCATAGGCCGAAAACTCCCAAAAACCGCCTGCTCCAATTTTTTGGCGCGTCGGATCTCTGGGGTACCCATTTCGTTCGTGCCGATCCTGTGCCACGCCACCCTGTTCTCGGGGGTGGCGCCGCACCGGCACTCCTGCGCGCGGCTCTTGGGGGCGACGGTCAGGCCGCTCAGGTCGAGGCCTCAGAGTGTGCCCTGGAAGCGGCGGGATCGACGAAACACGGTTCGCCGAGGAAGACAAACAACGGCGCAGGAATCGGAACCGGGACGGAGCACAAAAAGGCGACGGAGCCACGCACAAAAACGGCGACGCAGCTGGAAAACAAGGGAGAAGCACGGAGCCGGTACACAGAAACTGCCCTGCCGCTTCCAAGGCCCACCCGCTGAGGTCGAGGCCCTTGGTGAGGCAGAAGCGGCTGCAGTCCAGCGAGCTCTGCTCCCTCTGCAGCCGCAGCCGGAAGAAAGGGAGGCCGCTGCGGCACGGCGACTCGGCGGTGAAGTCGCTGGCGCGGACGCAGGTCTTGTCGTCGTACCTGCGCACCGTTGAACCGATCCCCATCCTCACTGGCGTGACCTTGGCCCCACTGGGCGATTGCACCCCCCCTCCCTCCAAAGATGGGGATACATGCTGTTCCCTTCGGGCTTCGCGTGGCCCATCCCCAACTGGGGTGGATGGGTGGGATGGTGGGACTGAGATTGGGGAAACCAAAAGGTACCGATACTGCTACTCCCCGGACCTCTCCCGGGGTGCGTTCTGACTAGGATTTCGAGGCAAATCCAGCGGTGGCGACGAGGGCCTCCCAGGAGGCCCAAAACGGGGAAAATGGGCGAAGGGTAGCGGTAGGGGTACCCTTTTTCCTCCTCTGAGCGGTACCATGGCAGTGGGGATGGGATCTATTAGCAATGATGTGTACCTGTACTCCTCGTCGGGGTCGTCGCCGGGCGCCCTCCGGAAGCAGCCCTGCAGGCTGTGCTCGATCTTCTCGGCGCCCTCGTGCGCGCGCCGCGGGGCCTCCGCGCCGCCGCCGCTGTTGTCGGCCGTGCCGTGGATCCTAAGGCTCTTCACCTGAGCGCTGATCAGAAACGGGCCTCACGCGAGATGGCGCAGCGACCTGACGCGGTGGCTTACGTACACGGGCCGCCAGCGCGGCACGCCACAATGGAGACGAGGGCACCTACGCGCGACCCTGCGCGAACAGCTTGCGGCGCGCCGAGGTCGGCGCCGTCGAACCCGTTTTTTGTGGCGTCGCCCACCTGAACTTTTGCTGCCACACCGCAGACACGCCACCGACCGCGCGCTTCTGGGAATCGATGGGCTCGCTTCCGGGAGTCGATCGGCCCGATCCTGGGAGTCGATCGACTCGCCTTCTGGGGATCCATGGGCTCGCTCTCTAGGAATCGATGGGCTCTCTCCCTGGGGGCCGACCGGTTCGCTACTCGAATCCGACAGTTCGCTGCTGCAGGAGACCCCAGGATCGAATCGATAAGTCGAATCGGCGATCGGCATGAATGGGATTGGCCGAAATCGGCAGCGGAGTTGGGAAACGTCGGATCGGCGGTAATCGTCAAGCTCATCTGCCTCCCATGAAAAATCGGACTCCAAATCGGAATCTCAAGTCGAACCGAACCGCATGGCGGGCAGGGCGCGCATGGGCAGAATTTCGACATCCGCGTCCCAGGCAGCTTCGGATACACATCGCCGCGGCACGCTTGTTGACGTGTCGGGTTGACACGTTTGGTGTCCTTATCGCACGGGACGGTCGTTTCTCCACGTGCATCTTCGGGTTACTTTGGACTGGCCATCGCTCGGACGTCCGTTCCCTGCGCTTTTGTTCCACCTCGTGCGTGGCTTCTTTTTTTTCGCCCGATGATCCAGGATGCTCCTCGATGGTCCTCGCCGACAGAAAAAGCGCACACCTCCGAGCGATGCCAGGTGGAGAGCATCGGAGTCGAACGGCACCGAACCGGAAGCATCGAAGCGAGCCCTGCTGCCGGGCGCCCCTCCCGGGGCCCCTCGCCTGCAGCAGGCTGTCCTCCCGCTGGGGGCAGGCGCCGCCGCCGCCGCCGCTGCAGGCCGGGCCCGTCGCCCGCGCGGCGGCGAGGAGCAGGGCGGCCAGGCGCGCCCGGCGAGCGGCAGCGCGGCCCATGGCGGCTGCGCGGGGAGCCCCGACGACGCCGCGGCAGAAGCGGGGACGTCCTCGAGAGACCCAGGGCACGACACCGCGGCGTCGGCGAGAAAGGCCAGGGCGGGGCAGCTGTCGGCCTCGGGGGGCGCTCGCCGGGCCCCGGGACCGTCGAACGAAGGCTCGGGACGAACCTCGGGTCCGGGGGAGAGGGTCGGGACTTCCAGGGACCTCTTACGTACAATCGGAACTAGGCCAGAAGAACATCCCTCAAGAACACGAGACCCTCCGTCGGCCAAAACGCACAGAACATCCACGGGTACCCTCCTCAGGATGCACAAAAACATCCAACAAGCACGAAGAACATTAGGGTACCCTCCCCGAACCGACCTCGATCTTATACCTCGGTCCGGCTGTAGTGAAAACATCGGGACGTCCGCATGTCTGGGGACTCGACCATGAGCCGTGGGCCCCGCCTCCCTGCTGCCTGCTGCGCGCCATGGTCGAGCCGTGCCGGCCCGGGGCGCCCGAGGCTGGGCGAGGACACCGGGCGGTCACAATCACGACGCCCGGGTCCCAGGGCAGCCCGAAGGCCGGGCCTCGCACTCCTTTCCCGCACCGGGCGTGTTTGCGCCCTGCGTCGGGCCCGCGGGCTCTCGCGGATCGGGCCAGCTCGAAGGCGCAGCAGTCAGAGGGGCCCAAGTCGAGCTGTTGGTCCGAGGATGTCGCCTTTTTTGTCCGTGCCGTCGGATCTGAGCGTGCAGCAGGGACACGCGACAAGGAATCCTGCCATGGAGAAGTACCGGGGGCACGCTCTCCGTCGACTTTTCAAAGCCCCACAGAGAGAGGTGCCCAGGAGCTTCCGTGAGGATGACGAGGAAGAGGAGGAGAAGGATGATGCCCGCGGGGTGAGGCGGACCGCGTCGAGCCACGGCCACCCCTGCGAGGCGCGCGCCCCACGCGCGCCCGCGCCTCGGCGCAGCTACGCGCCCGAGGCTGTCGGCCAGGCCTCACCCCGCGCGGCCCGCAGCAGCCTCGCCACCTTGGCGGCCAAGCCTGGCGAGCTGCTGCGCTCCCGCGTGCAGCGCCGCGGCCTCGGCCAGCCGCCTCCGCCGCCCGCAGCCCCTGCTTCGCATCGAGCAGCAGAGCCACCTGCAGGCGGCATGCTCTCCTCCTGCGACCTGTCCTCCAAGTCCACGCTGTCGCCGCCCGCAGCCCCTGCTTCGCATCGAGCAGCAGGTTCACCTGCAGGCGGCTGGACCTCCTCCTGCGACCTGGCCCCTCTGGCCTCGCGTGGCGGGGGCGGTCCGCCGCCGCTGCCACCTGCAGCCACCTCGCCTCCTCTCTCGGCAGGGCCCGCCTCAGGCCGCTGGCTCTCCTCCTGCTGCTTGGCCACCTTGGCCGCCCGCCTCGGCGACTGCGAGGGCGGCGTCAGCGCGGCCTGCCTCGGCGAGCTGCTGCGCACACGCGCGCGGCGCCTCGGGCCTGGCCCTCCGCCGCCGCCCGCAGGCCCCGCCTCGCCTCCTGCCGCGGCCTGGCGCCTCGGCGAGCTGCTGCGCACACGCGTGCGGCGCCGCGGGCCTGGCCCGCCGCCGCCGCCCGCAGGCCCTGCCTCGCCTCCTGCCGCGGCCTGGCGCGCCGCGGCTGCACGCCTGCCGCCAGCTCGCCCTCTCGGGCCAGCCGCCACGCTGGAGCCCTCAGGGGTCAGGGGACGCAGGGAGTCCTCGCCCTCCCCCTCCCCGCCACCTGGAGCTCCTCCTGGCGGGCGCAAGGAGTGGCCGTCCTCCTCCCCCGCGATGTGCCGCGGCGGCTGGCCTCTCCCCTCCTGCACGTCGTCCGCCAGCATCGGCGGGGGCGGTCCGCCGCCGCTGCCACCTGCAGCCACCCCGTCTTCTCCCTCGGCGGGGCCCGCCTCAGGCCGCTGGCTCTCCTCCTGCTGCTGCTTGGCCACCTTGGCCGCCCGCTTCGGCGACAGCGAGGGCGGCGTCAGAGCGGCTTGCCTCGGTGAGCTGCTGCGCACGCGCGCGCGGCGCCGCGGGCCTGGCCCGTCGCCGCCGCCCGCAGGCCCTGCCTCGCCTCCTGCCGCGGCCTGGCGTGCCGCGGCTGCACGCCTGCCGCCAGCTCGCCCTCTCGGGCCAGCCGCCGCGCTGGAGCCCTCAGGGGTCAGGGGACGCAGGGAGTCCTCGTCCTCCCCCTCCCCGCCACCTGGAGCTCCTCCTGGCGGGCGCAAGGAGTGGCCGTCCTCCCCCCCCGCGATGTCCTGCGGCGGCTGGCCTCTCCCCTCCTGCACGTCGTCCGCCAGCATCGTGATGTTGACTGCCACCTCGCTGACCACCTTCGGAGCCAGCCCCTTCCTCAGCCTCGCGACCGCGGCGGCGCCTGCAGCCGAAGGGACACTCTTGCACTCGAGGTGGAAGGAGCTCGCTCTGGCCGCGCCTGTGAACCCGCACGCCCTGCAAGCCACCAGCGGCATCCTGCGCACCAGCAGCCTCCCATCAACAGGCGCGAGGAGCACCAGGTCGTGCGACGCCTTCTGCTGCGCCTTCAGCCTGTTGTTGGCCCTGATCGCCTCGGCGACGATGCTGCCAGGGCACTCTCCTGATCTGCCTGACCATCTGCAAACCTCGCACCAGGGACGTAGGCCAGGCGGCCTCCTCCAGACGCAGGCTATTCTCGCCGCTGGCTCCTTGCGCACTGGCAGCGCGCGCTGCACCTTCGTCTTGCCGTGCGTGGTGTCGCTGCCGTCGACCCAGCTGCCGACTGCCGCGCACCACATGGCTGCTCGTTCGACCACGTCTCGACTCCTCTCCAGGCACTCTCTGTCCCGCACGGGGAGGCGCCCGCTGGCCGCCGCAGCCTTTGCCGCCCTGTCCGCCAGTCGGTTGCCGTACCAATCTCTGTACAGCACCTCGCCCGCCGCCACCTGCCGCCGCGTGCTGTGGCTGGGCATCCACCTCAGGCTGACCTCATGCCCAAGGCCTCCTCGCTCGTCCAGCAGGTCCCAGGCTCGCCGCCACAGGTGAGCCCACGTGTACGCGTAGCCCGTGGTGCCCACCCTGCCGACCTTGTAGAAGCCGTCGTACACGTACTTGGAGTCGACCACCAGCACCGTGACCCCTTGGCCAAACCTGAGCGCCATGATCACCGCTGTGAGCTCCCCGCCGTTGATGTCCACGCAGTGGCCCTCCATCTGGCCAGCGATGGAGGCTCTGTACCCGTCACTGTGCGCCTGCAGCGCCACCACACTCCAGCCAACTGCCGCCACCTCCTCGTGGCCCGCTTCGAACGCCGAGCCATCGAGAAACAGCTCACCTCCAGGAAGGGTGCCTCCATCGTGGTCGCCCTTCCAGCACGCGTCGCTGCACACTGGCGGGCGGCAGATGCCCCGTGGTGTCGGCCACAGGCACCTCTCAAGCAGCAGCTGCACCTCAGGCCTTCCGCTCTGCCTTCGGAGGCCTGCCAGGTCCTCTGGGAGCGTCAGCACCTCACGCCAGCACGGGCAGTCGAAGTGCCTGTGCATCAGCGTGCCCCTGGCTCCACACCTCAAGCACCCTGCACTGGGCGCCAGCCCCTTCTCCTCCTTGCGCGCCTGAGTCCACTGCCCATCGATGATGAGGGACCTCAGGTAGGCCTGCTCTCGCGCCGTCAACCGAACCCTGGTGCGAGGTGCTCCCTCCTCTCGGCGTGGCTCGTCGGCTTTCCTAGCGCAGCCAGAGGAGGTGAGCCTGACCAGGGGCTCCAGCTCGCCGCCACCCGCCAAGTGCGCGCACCCTGGGGCTTTGCTGACCTGCCTCCACTGCCAGCGCTGCACTGCTCTCTTCACCAGCTTGACCACGACCCACGGCGCGCAGTCGAAGGGCGCGATGGCCACGCCGTCGTCCATGACCCAGCAGTTGGCGGCGACGACGTCCCAGCCGATCCTCCTGAGGGACAGCACCGTCGCCGCGCACGGGCCCTGCACGTGCACCCAGGACACAGGCCGCTTGTCCTCGAGGCCCCGCCACACCATGTGCAGCGGCACCCACCGCTCCCAGACCGCACGCAGCAACATCAGCACCGGCTTGCAGGTCGCGTCGTAGATCGGGTCAAGGCCTGCCTGGAGCATGAGCCCGAGCGACCTGGACTTGCTCGCCGTGGTGTTGGAGACCGCGACGAAAGTGAGGGTCCTGGCGCGGTCCAGCTCCCCCTCCGTGCAGCCCGTGATGGCCGTGCCGTATCCGATGCACGGGTGCAGCCCCGTCTTCACAATCCTCTTGGTGGCCCTCCGCTTGGCCTTGACCACCTGCAGCACTTTGATCCTGCGCAGCCTGCCGCTCGCCTGCACCATCCTGTCGCGACGAACTGCTCGTCCTATCCTCTTGCCACCGCTGAAGTCGACCCCCAGGTTCCTCTCCTGTCCTGTGGCGCGCACCCCCAGCGGCTTCAGCAGGCGCTTCTCGAGCTCCTGCCTCGCTGCTGGCACATTCGCCAGCGCCCTGGATTTCTTCACCGCGACCTCGAGGTCGGCCTCGCCGAGCAGTACCTTGAGGTGCCTGGCCGCCAGCGTGAGGTCGTTGACTGTCCGCTGGAAGCCGCCCACCCTCTTCAGGATGATGTCATCCACGACCACCGAAATCGCCAGCGTGGGAACCAGCTCCTGAAGCTTGTCCAGCGGCTCAAGCAGCAGCATCTTGAGCATGAGCGTCGCCAGCCCGTCTCCAGGCAGCACCGCCTGCTCGGTGCTGATGGCGTTGCTGACGGCTTCGTCCCGCGCCAGCCACCTGGGCGCACGGTACAAGCTCACCTGCAGCCTGAGCTGCCAGAGCGGGAAGCCCGTCCGCTGGGCGGCCTGGATGAGGCGCCCATGCTGCACCTGCTCGTACGCCTTGAGTAGGTCCAGGAGGATGAGGGCCGCGACCCAGCTGGATGCATCGCCAGCTTCGCGCCCCTTCGCTGTCGCCCACTCGCACTCCACGGCCTGCTGCCAGACCGCCCTCTCGCAGCTTCTGCCGCGCGCCGCCCAGAAGAAGGGCCGATCATTCTTG